CTTGCACAAAGGGAGGGGCATTTTTCCTCTCCCATTAAACTCATTCTTTCCCTCTAAAACAAAACTCAATGGCTCGATCTTGCTCCTGTTTTTTTATTATCCCCAGCTCTCCCGCTCGCTTCCCAGCTACGATTCGGCGCCCGCTCCTCCTCTGTTAACTGCGACGATACATTTCCGACAAGACAAGTCTACCTGACCTCATCAGAAAAGAGAAAGAGGGGAGTATATCAATCTCCCTTCATCCTTAAAAAATTTGTGATCTCTCTAAGAGAATCAGCCATCTTATATTGCCGAGAGAAATGGAGATCGCTTCCAAATATATATTTACATAAGAAACCCTTCTCGTTGAGAGTTAGACACATATTCTCGTCGGCTGATGCAGAGATCCTATCTTTACCAGTAAATCGGTGGGTCGTTCATCGCCTTCTAAAGTTTACGGCCACCTCCGGTTGGATCACTGTGTTCGCCTTCTTCGTCGTTCTTAAAAAGCTTTGTTTGGCCATCACTACTCCCATTGCAGTGGCTCTACTACGTGGTTAAGTTTCTTTTTGAAGCAAGCTTTCCTGGCATCTTTTGTTTTAGCTTTACAAGGGATGAGAATGGAGCAAGATACCTGCAAGAGCTTCGCTTTCTTCGTGTTGTCTAATCACGACTCTTCTTCGAGCCTGTGCATGGCACTTCAACCGTGTCTATCTTCGTCGACCATAAGTGGAGAACCTCTTGGACAACAAGCGGGGCATGGGGCTCCTCGCCCTTGACAAGCACCGCTGCCCATCCCCTCGCGGTGGTTGTGGTGCCCTTCCTTCCGCAGGAGGCAGCCCATCCTTCCTCCTCGTCCTTACCGATGGCGGACATCTCTCTTAGCTATCTTTCTCTTAACTAACTCTATCCCTCTTTTCTCAGAGCCGAAGCCCTCGCCTTTTCCTCGCCTCTCTCTCACAACCAGATGCCGCTCGCCTCCCTCTGTATCGAGCTCGCTCGCCAGCTCTCTCTCCCGCTTCCCCTTTTCCTTCCTCCGCTCACAGGAGTCGTCTCTGCAAACCGAAGCTTTCGTCTCCTTATATTCACGAACCAAAGCCCTCGTACACCAAGACATTCGTTGTTTCTTGCTCGAAGCCCTCCGTCACCTCCTTCCTCGCCTGACAGATTTGGCCTCCGCTCTTCTTCTAACGCTCGGATGATCTCTCCGCTCTCAAAATCATCAGTTTCTGCTTCCTCTTGGTCGGATTTGCATGTTTGTATTGGTCAAGAGCCACGGCTTCTGAAGAGACCTCGACAATCTTGTCGCAGAAGTTCGGCGATGCTTTGGAGCTGAAGAAGGCTCCGGTAACGGAGGATTTCTCACTTGTAGAGACTCCGAGATCTAAGCGAGGGTGAAAATTTACTTAGCAAGCTTGGTTCCAAGTTGGATTTAGATGACACTTAATTCATCCTGTTTTACGAAGCAGGTGCTTTGCTTGCTCTGTGGATTTCATCAGTTGTTGTTAGCGCAATTGATACTCTTCCTCTGTCCTAGGCTATACAATCTAGTTTAGTTATCGTTATCTCATTTTTTAAGAAAAACAAGGAGGAATTGTTTTTCAAAAATTGAAAAATTGAAGGAGGAGATATAATTTGGACAATCTGAGTAATAATTTCTTTATGTGATTCCTCAGCTGCTTTGGTTATATTTGCAATATTTTTCCTTTCTTGCCCAAAGCGTTATGGGGAGCTACGTTTCCAGCCAAACCTTCTCCAATCAGCCATTAGAACCGAAGACCTCTCTACATTCTTCTCTGCAGCTGGCAATTCCTGTAGCTTCTGTTGCACCTCGCTTTTTCCCTATGCAAGCACCGCCAGTCGTCGGAGTCAATTTCTGCAGCCTTTGCTGTGCCTCAATCTTTTCCCTGCATAGGTGTCTAGTTCACCACATCATTGCGATTTCAGCGGTTTTCCCTGCACAGACCTTTGGGAAATTGCAGGCTAGCATTTTCAATAAATAGCGAGCATTATTTTCTCTTTCTAGTAGAAATTTTGGTTCGTCAATGGGATTTGTTTTCTCTCTCCAGTGCAAATCACGAAGGATCTTCAGTTGAAATCTCAGTTTTCACTCTCGGGTAAAAATCATTGTCCCCCGCAGAACTGCACAAAGCACTGGCTTCCTTACGGGCTCTCCCATGGTCGTTTTCCCTGCAATTTTTTCAGTCGCAGATCCTTCCTGCAAGATCTTTTAGTCGTAGAACCTCCCAATTTCCTTCCATGACCGTCGAAGCACCTACCTACAGTGAGACCTATCCTTTGATGGATTTCTTGCCACTGGAACTCCCTCCTGTAGTCCTTCATGCCGATGAAATTCCCTTTTGCGGCCTCTCCTGCCGCCAAAAATTCCTGCGGATAAGTCTGCTAACGACTGGACCTTCGGGCTTACTCCTGCAGCGGATTCTCTCCCCTGCAGCCTTTCCCACCGTCGGACTCCCTCATGCAACTTTTCTCGCCGTCGCATCTGCCTCAAAAAATTTTCCCTATTCCTGCAATATTATTGCAGCCTTCTTCGAACACTACAGCTTTCCTGAGCACTGTCGTTGGCCCTCTGCAGTTTTCCTGCAACCCCCCTGCAACCTCCCTGCAGCCTCCTTGCAGCTTTCCTACAACCTCTCTGCAGTCTTCTTGCAGCTTTCCTGCATCTTTCCTGCAACATTATTGCAGCCTTCTTGTTGTTTTCATATAATTATCAGTCAACCGGTGACTTACAAAGTCATCAATGTCTCAAAATTGAGCTTAGCCCTCGTCCAGGCCACTCCCAGGCTTCGGCACTCTCAAGATTTGGCATTCTCGACTTCAAAGCTCTCAGGCTTCGAGAACTTCGGCTTCAACACTTACAGAGGATTGTTGGAGTTTCTTGTTGGCAAATTGATGCTAAATGTTCAGTCAGCTTACCACAGCCGATATTTTCATATTCAAGTTGAATATGGTTTTCAACCATATTCAACTTGAGGGGGAGTGTTGAGATATCTAATTTAAATTACAGGATTTATTGTCTTTCCTGTTATGATTTATAATAGGAAATAATTTATTCTAGAAAAAATTGTGAGAAATAAATTATTTCCTTAATATAAGGAGATATTTCCGTTTCAAATATTAGGAATTATTTGTTTTTTCTATTTTATATTATTTCATATTATCTCCTAATAATTAATATGAATTAATTATTACATATATCAGGTGATATATCTTTCCTTTTTTATTATTTTTTCTATTATAGGATTCTTGTAAGGGTTATTTATAACCCTGTTCATATCAATGAAATTAAGCGATTCTGAAGTATTTCACATTATTCTAAATTTCAACAGTACCATTTGCTCTACTCTGGCTTTATGTGTTTTTGTGACATAATTTTTTTTCGGTTTGTGGCTCCTAGAATGAATAGACTAGAAATTTTATGGGCACCGGAATGAATGGACTTGGAATTTATGGCTTCTGAAATGAATAGACTTGGAATTTGCTTATCTCTGTTGATTTTGGAGGTTGGGAAGCTTATTCTAATTTGTGGCCTCTATGCATGCTCTATTTTCCAGTATGGTTGGTCTGTGTGGGTTACCCTCTTTCTAGGATAAAATATGCATTGTGTTTGGTGGCCTTTGGGTGGTTGGGGTGGGTTGGGTGGTGGTGTCTAGGTGGTATGTGTGATAGTGTGTTGGTGTTGTGGTAGTAGTGTGTGTAGATGAGAGTGGTGGTGGTGGTGTGTTGATTGTGCAGTGGTGGTGGCGTTGTGTTAATTGTGTGGTGATGATGGTGGTTTGTTGGTGTGGGGGGGGGGGGGGTGGGGGGGGGGGGGGAAGGGATTGTAGTAGTTTTGACAGGACATTTTAATAATCATTGGACTGATTTTATTATAAATAACACAATAGTACATGAGCAAAAATGTCTTCTCTTCATAAATAATTGCATCACAATTACTGCACAACTGCAAAAAAACCAACAAACACACATCTTTCCAGCAACAACTTCTGTGCAACAATTTCCCGACATAGCTGCTACGCAACACTTTTTAGTGAGCTACAGCTGCCCCAAATAAAGCCTAAACCACAACTGTTACCTTTAATAGAGAGCCTAATAAAACAAGTTTGAATATTGGATGTTCAAAAATAGAGCTTTTACACGATCATATGAAATTTAAACCTCTCGTTATTCTGGTTCGATGTCTGATCCAATTTCCACAATATTGACAATTTGGACTAGTTTGGATGAGCCGAAACAGTTTTAGAGTCGATGGGTTAACTCAACGAAATGTTCAAATTGATAATAAATTTGGTGGAATAATAATTAAAATGGTGTTTAATTTTACTTAAAAAAAAATCAGTTCAAATGTTGCTTCAAGACCTAAGTAAATAATTGAATGACAAATCAACCCATTTTAATTTGACGAATTGACAGAACAGATTAGAGTTTATTTATTTCTTAAAATATTTTTTATTCAGATTAAAAGAAACAAATTTAAAAGAGGCCAAAAAAATAAATAAATAATCCCAAACAAAAACATGCAGGAATAAAAAAGTATAAATATACATTTCAATGTATAAGATGTTTTTAAAACGTTATTAACATTCTGTGGCTGAACTTTATAATACCATAAATGAAAAATATTATTTAATTTAAAAGAATAAACAAAAAATTTAGCATGATTAATAAAAATCAAAATTAATCACTATTTTTAATGTTTTAAAACATTCAATAATTGTTTTTTATTCAAAATTAAACTATTAATAAAATATATAAATTTAGAATCATTTTATTTTATTTTTTTATATTAGCACTTAAGAAAAAAATATTATATTTCAAATTTATATTTATATTAATCAAAAGGGCAGAATAAATCATTAAAGAATCATAATTTTTGATAAAAAAATGAATATAATACACATATTATACAAATTCAATTGCAAAAAAAAAATCAAAATCAACAAATTCCAAGATGCCGGATTCTAACAATTATAAAACACATCAAGACATCTTGAGACAAATTTGAGACGAAAATCAAGACAACTACAATCTAAATTAAACCATTTCAAACGAAGTTTATGCAGCCTCTTACAGTCATGCGGCATACTGCTCATAATGAAAGCCAAATTTAGAATGAAATCATTCCAGGTTCAGCAACATCTGCTCATAAATGCTGAAATTGAACATAAATTTAAGTATCATTTAAAACAAGTTTTTTTTTAAAAAATATTTCTAAGTTGCTAGAACAGGTATTATGTTCATTCAGCAGGAATAAAACCAGAAGATTGCATGCAGCATCAATTCAGATGGCGTACCAACTTGGCATCAATTCCGAGGTCTAAGGCTCCCCGCCAAGCTCCACTCTCAGATTATCATAGGGGTAAACTTTTGGCGTCTGTCAGAAAGTGCAAAAATCAATTAGATTTAGATTTTTACCTTTAGTATCTTACAGCTGAGGAGAATTTACAGTTAATTTAATTTATCTATTATTAAAAACCTCACAATATCCAGTATTGAAGTCTCAATTCAGGAAAAGAACTGGCTAATAACTAAATTGTACATGAGCTTGCAGGCACTACCAGCAATAAGATCATTTGATTGTTTTTAGATATATCAAAATTATAAAAGGAAGATTTACATATATATATATACTACTCAATTCCTATGTATTTACACATCTAACACCAAAACATCAATTTTTACGTATATACCTCCTTACCCAATGCATAAAAAGGTGTAGTTCACTTTTTAACAGCTAAAATGTTGGTATTTCTGATGTGATATAAGAGATTTGGGCGGTTTAAATGTAAAAAATAAAGTAGCTGTAAGAGATGTAAATACATAGGAACGGGGTGGTATGCATACAAACGCCCCAATTACTAACAATTGCCCCCGCCTCGAAATAGAAGGCCTACATTTTGGATTATAATGATGTATGATGTAATGGAGAAGAAAAGGCTACTAAGGAGGACAGTAATAATAACGTTTTAAT